ATTTTTGAGAACTTCACATCTCGTATCCAGTGGCACCAGGATATGAGACAATGGTTCTTAATCGAAGAAAAGTAAAATATTTTATCTCTCTTTTGAAATTATAATTTTTATGTAAAGATTGATTGAGAAATAGAGATGTGCACGTTTACCACTTTCCGACCCATACCCACAAAAGCCTTTTTCCACTTGTATCCGACTTATGCCTAAAAATTTTTTTGTATTTCGATTTATAGCTAAAGACTTTTGTTTTTCGGCTGAAAATGTCAAGTTACCAGTACGTTCTCAAGTAAACTCTTTTAAAAACTTCATGCATTTTAGCTAAAATCTTGTATTTCACTAAAATTTTGTTGTTTTTCCACTAAAACTTTCCAATTTTCAGGCGAATTTTGAAAAACGGAAGTCATAACCGTACCTAACCTTCGAGTTGGGTGTGGATTGCACATTTCTATTGAGAAATATTCTAGGCAGTTCAGATTGATCTCGTGTTTACTCTCTGTTTTTTTTCGAAAGGTATTCAAAAAACAGAAAAATTTTAAGAAGATTAGAGAAAATCAGCAAGTAAAAGGAGAGAAATTATTCAGAAAAATTTCGATAAACAGAATTAGAGACGCAGTTTCTTTTCCATTTTTATAAGGTAATCAACACCAAATAAGAGTAAGCAAACCGTTAGTAATAAATGAGATTGATTGCATCTTAGTACAAATCTGTATTCAATATCGATGAATATATCTTTATCAACGAATAACATTTCATTTCTACATATATTTTTTTAGAGAAATTAAAAAAATTCATCTAGGCTCCGATCTCATGAGATTTGCGAATTTTGTGAGAAAAATCTCTAAAGAACTATATATGTAACATTATCTTAAAAAACTAAAGGGTATCTGTCAGTATGTCTAACATTTATTTTCGCAGAAGTTTGAGTAGGTTTTATTTGTAATAAATAGTTTTTGTTCTATGCTAATTAGATACAATGTATGTTTTGACCTCTACCGATTTACTTATTTATTTAATCAAATAAAAAAGTAAAAATTACATAGATTTATTCTTCATTTTGTTTAAATTTGATTTTTTACTATTCACATATTATCTTTTGTAATAAAATTTTAATTTAAATAAGTATCTTTTCCGGCTTAATGAATTTTATTTGTTTATATTTTTACTTAACGCTATCACTTGTATCACTCGTTTATACTCTATAATAGCTCTAACATTTCGTGATATTAAAAAGAAGTATAGGTGTGTGCATATTGTGATATTTTCTTTCATCAATATCTACTCATTTTTTTGTTTTCTTTTTAACTTTCTTTTTTTTTTCACTTGCATACATATTCTACCAATCGGTACAAAGGACATACAAAACATTCTTAATCATTTTTATTTATATTTCACTATTGATAAACTTCGTTTAAAAGTCAGACATTCGTTTATGAACTGCCCTCTTCGACGTTTAATATAATGATTTATTAAGGTGTATGTACCTCTCACCTTTTGACTCTCTCTTTCTTGTTTCATCAATCATATGATGATTATTTATCTTTTTAATGTTCTTTTTATTTTAATGCGCATTTTCATAAAAAGACAAGATGTATTACTTAGTGATAATCTTTCTTTCAATTAGAGAGACTGGCTAGACAAGTGGGAAAAATAGATAGATAGAACATCATTTTCAATATGAAAATCACTAATCATCTTGTAAATTTTTTTTTTGTTTTTTATTTTACAGAAGAAAAAAACTTGTATGTAAAGTTGATTTTAAAAAAATTGAAAGATAGACTTTATTTGATCTAAAAATATGATGAGAATAAACGAGAGATTTTGGATAGAAGTAACGCCTCATAATAGAAAGGTTAAGTGTAGTACATACTATTTTTAAATGTAATAGTTGTTTTCATCTAATATGGCTTCTATTATAGAAAAAACTTATGAAAGTTTGGTTTTTATCTCTGTTTTAACTGAGATTCGTTTGATAAACGAGAAACATCTCAAATGAGACTTAATTAATTGTGACTCAACTTACACTGTTGTAACCTCATCAATTACGACTTTCAAAATGCTTAAACGCCCCCTACTACTTGAATTTACATTTTATCTTTAATATATAACATCCATCGATGAAAATGTTTTCTTTCTCAAATACGTTTCTTAACTTTCTTTCTCTCACGCCCACATGCCCACACATTCACGATTCTAACTGAAGACTTTATAGATCGTCTATAACTATGATTAGCAACAAACTCTCATTCATAGAGTTCTAAGACACTCCTTAATTTGTATCACCGTACTATCATATGCGGTATTTTTTTAATTATAGATTATTATTTTCTAAAAATCTTCTAATTTTATTAAATTAAACTGGATTCTCATAAGTTGCAGTATGACTTACGGTAAGATATTCACTAAAGAAACTTTTTTTTTTATTTTTGAAAATTTTGCATGATCGGATGTGATACCAAGTGTAGAACTACACTTGATGTCGCGTGAAAAAAAAGACATTCATAAAATAAATACTTTTTATTTTCGCACGAGAAAATATCTTGGTACGATATATGGCGTGTGAAAAATCACGAATGACATGACCATGATCATCCGTGAAATTTCCACATAACTTGTCGTAACTTATAAATAAAAAAAATGTTTCATATCATATATTCACTATTTCCTCATACATTTACAAATTTCTCTAGTTTATACAAATTTTTTACCAATAACAATATTTTTATCATCATTCATAGTCATCATTTGAAAGTAAAAAAAAATAACAACAACAAAAAAATACGTGTTACAAAATCCTGACATGATTCTGTTTATGACTTTTCAACAATTTATTACTCGAATTAAAATACACTTAAAGTAACTTCGAATTTGCATTGATTAGATTAGATATAAAAATCATCATGTGTTGTTATCTCTGTATCAGAGATGGACGAGAATTCTTCGCGGAGCAGATCCCACGAGAAAGATTTTTTGAAAGCTTGACGAAGCAAGAACTTCACAATGTGAAGGACATTTTTCCTTGCGAGCGGAAAGATGTTTGATCTATTTTTATAATAAAGGTGACGGTTCTTCTTGTGAATCAAGATGAAACAATGAATAGATTTTTTGAACTCACAAGGATCATCGATGAGGATATACTAGAGAAAAATCTTATCAAGAGTTGACGATGGACGAGGTGGCGATGGAGCAGAAAGTTTACGGGACGATCCCCGTGAAGTACATTTATCGAAACGTGGCGAGGTACGAAGCAATCTCCACAAGAGAACTAAAAATAGTCCATCTCCCACCTCTGCTCTGTATCTGATATGATTAGCATTTTGAGTGTCCTACATCGCAGATTTACATTGTTAAAAGAAAATGTCTATCTGTGAATTTATCCTTCAATGACATATTTTTGTTGTCACAATTCATACATAGAGGATATTCATCATTATTTTTGGTCTTCTCGTCATTGAAAAATGTCTTTGTTCACATTACACTGTACAAAACTAGAAAATGTTTTAAGACTCATAAGAATCTTCTATTCTCTTCTATTTCACATAAAATGTTCATTGTAGCCACTAATAGTGAAACTTTATCACTTACTTTTTAAAAAATGTGCAACTAAATTATAATGTTGTACTTTCTTTTTTAATTCTGTGTTGTCACTTCAATTTTTTCATACACATACGTTAAAATATTATGTACTTTGAAAAAGAAAAAATACTAATAATACCATAGTGTCGTGTTTTTTTTTTTTTGAAATTTTTTTTTTGATTTTTTTTTTTTTTTTTTTTTTTTTTTTTTTTTTTTTTATATTTATTTTTTTTTTTTTTTTTTTTTTTTTTTTTTATCTATTTCTTATGATTTAAAAAAACAAAAAAATAGAAAGAAATCGATTCACGATAAATGTTACTTTTTTGGTGATTTTATTTTTTTTAAAATAAAAAGTTATGAAAATCCATTTTTTACACTACACGCACATATATTTTATGATTGAAATATTATAAACTAACGCACACACAATTATTGTGTTTTTGTCTTATTTCTAAAAAAAATTTTTATTATTTGTACTATTAATGAACATGGCTGGTCGACGATTTTCAACGGGAACATTAATAAATTTTAGGTAAATGATAAATTTATTATTTTTAGTCTAATAATTCTTATCAAAATTATGGATCAGAGATGATGAATCTATGTGATAGAGGAGAACAAATAATCGAATGTAAGTTTTATTATTGTAAAGTATATAGAATAAATGATTATACTATTACAAATCATTTAGTTCGTCTGATTTATATGTAAAGACAACAGTTTGTTTGAGTAAAAAAAAAAAGAAGAGAGGAACTATCGTCTAAAAGCATGAGACTATCAATTTAGTTCCTACTGTTTTTATCACAAGAAAAATTTGTTAAAGTTTTTATATTTACGGATCTTCATTTTTCTTTTCTTTTTTGTTTTTTTTTTGCATCTATTCATTGAACGTATTCAAACGATATTAAACCTTCTTCTCATGTGACTCAAAGTGTTCCGTTCTATCTCATTTTGTTCAATTCATCATCTCTATAATCATTTAATTATATAGTGTATGGAAAAAAGAACTCTTTTATCTATTCTACTATACAATTATTGAAATAAAGAACTCTAAAAAGACTATTGCATCGCGCCTATTATTCGACAATAAATGAAATCCTAAATTTATTGATGAATATTATAGACAAAAAAAAACAAACGAGAAAAAATAAAAGATGAAGAAAAAGAACGTATTTTAAATTATTTTTATCTATTCTGAGATGACATGGATTGATAATTTGGTATGTATGCCTGTGATTCGAAGGTAATTTTGACAATATTGTTTCCTGAAGATTAAATTTGGCTTATCGAATGAAAATATATATTGAGACAGTTTAGTAGGGCTTTTCTTATTTTTATTTTCTACTCATCTCTTCTTTCAAATGCTTCAAGATTAAGTTTAAAATATAATATAGATGAGAGGCAGATGTTGTCTGACAAAAAAAAAAAAAAAAAAAAAGAAATGTTAAGTTTATTATGATTAAGATTAATGTTTGACAAAAGTGTCGGGGAATTTTCTATTTTCTATGGAAAACATGTGTTGTTTACAAAAATATCGAACTGTATTTTTTTTCTTCTTTTACCTTACATGCATATACATCATTTTACAAAAAAGTAGAAAAAAAATTTCTTTTTTTTTTATTTTACAAAATATTAGAAATACATCATGCATAGAATAGGCTCTTCAAAATAACCTATATTTCTGAAATAGTTTATACAACATATATTTTTTTCTTCTTCTTCTTCTTTTATCCTTTTTCTCTCTCTCTCTCTCTCTCTCAATATTAATACATAGATAGATATATATAGATGTATAGAGCAATTGATAAACACAATATATGTATATACATATACATAAGATACATATATGTATGTATCTTATGTATATATATATATATGTACTATTCATGCAATTACAACACATTTATTATTCTCTCGCCTTTCTGTTATTTGGTTGTCATTCTTATTGAGCTTATTCTCTATAAAAAAACAACAACTAAGAACTGTTGTTTTGTTTATTTGTTGTCTAACATGTGGATGTAATTGTAGTCAATAAAATAGTGTTTCGTAATAGAGAGTATATATATATATATATTCGACATTTTTGACATTATGTAGTCAATCGAATAAATCTATTAAGAAGAGTGATTTGTAACAAACAAAAAAAAAAAATAAAAGACAAAAAAACAACAACTAATCATCCATTATATATATCTATCTCTTCTTAAATAAATATCTAATCATTTCTTATCTCTTATTTTCTAGACGTAATCGAAATCGTCCAAGTCCTAGTCCAGAACGTGGTCAATTAAATGACATAATACCTACAATACCAGAACCGATATCTAAAACAATTACATCCTCAAATACACTTCTTCCAATTATTTATCATCAAAAACAACAATTACCAACAAAATCATTGACAGTAGAAGAACAAACACAAAATTATTCAAATGATTTGAATAAATCATCAATGATGACTGCACCAGTAACAACAACATCAACAAAAGCTGGTAATTCAAATTCATTACCGGGACGTAATTCTTCTCAACGTTCAACAATGCATAGTAATGAAAATATATCAAGTAACAATTTATCGATTAGAGATGAATATAAAAATTTATCAGATAGTGTACGTTTTATAGTCGATAAATCAATTTCTAATATAATTTATTTTATAATATTATTTTTATTCATTCATTTTAGACTGGTAGTAATAAATTCAATTGGTCTCATCAACATAATGAATTTGATACGGATATGACACCGACAATGAATAATTCTTCACCAACATCGAATATTTTACGTAAAAAAAATCTATCTACATCAGATTTAGATCCATTAGAAAAGAAAAAACAATTGGCTCTAATAAAAGTTGAAGCTAAATTAGATAAGGCTCATCGATTATTTATTACAGCGAAAGAAGGACTTGACAGTAAGTTTTTTATTTCTTTTATTTTTTTTGGTTTTGTTTTATCCATAATTCTTTGTCACTTTGTCATTATTTTTTTATTTTATTCTTTTTTTTAGAAAATATTGCCGAGTATCTTCGTTTAAGTGTGCCAACTAGTTCAGGTGAAATATTATCATCGTCAACAAAACAAGCATTTGAAAAAAAAATTCGTACATTTCAAGATACGAAAAAAGGATTAGAAAAAAAAATAATATCCTATCAAAATGATATTGAACGTATAAATGCGGGTGATATTCCTCATTATACATCGAAAGATATTGTTAATAACATTGTTAAACAAACAATTAAAGTAGCCAGTGGTGGAGGAAAACATCGTCATGATGTTCAAGATGATGGAGATTCATTAGCTATAAGTTCATCATCACTTACACCTACATCGTCGTCATCTCCAACGGCAACGTCAACAGTTACATCATCATCAGCAAATCATAATAATTTAAGTCAAACAATATCGGCACCAACATCGGCTAATCCTAATTTTACAATGACATTAGAAGGAATGGATAAAAGTATAAATAATAGTGGTGAACAATCATCAACGGGTAACTCAATGACAAATGAAATTGGAAACAGTCAATTTTATATCAATTCTAGCCGTAAGTACAAACAATCAATATGTTCATAACTCATACGGTTTTATTTATCATATTTCATTTAAAATTTTTTTAAAACTATTATTATTCTTTTGTTTAGATGAATATCTTCCCGATACAGATATTAATTCTTTATCGAGGTCAAGTCGACGTCCAGACATTGGAACAGGTAAAGAGAGCTAATGACAATCAAAGAAAAATATCATTTTATAGCTGAAAATCTATAAAATATACATATTTAAGAATCGAGTTTCGTGTATTCATGTTAGTTACACTACGGTTACACTACCCAATTAATTACGATTAAGCATTTTTTAGTATAACAGAAATTATTTTGAATCATGATTAACAATATTTAATCACATGGAACAGAAATTTGTGTGATCGTACTCATCACGATTAAAAAGATAATCGTTATTTAACTTGTGATAGCCATAACTGTAAATACTCAGTGCGCAGGAGAAAACTCATTTTTGTGTTGACAAAGTTGACATGGATACAGTAATATTCTTTAATCTGATCAATAGATTTGTTGGCACCGGCTGTTAATAAACCTTCTTGTACTTTTTTTCGGTCGCCACGATTCTGATGACTTGCTATTTCATTCGATATTATTTCATCTTTTAACAAATTTAACAGCAAGTTTGTTTCTTCCTCAGACCACCAAAATCCTTTTGTCTTCGTTTTATTCTTGTAACTCGGCGTAGTCATTTTTAACAAAAAAAGTTATTATTAATTATTTATTTATCTATCTGTAACAGAGTATAGTAATGCCCGAAAAATTCTTTAGTAGACAAAACAGAGTTCAGACTGATTAGTTATTGCAGTTGAACAGTCATATGCAAGCGCCGCTAGCATGATCCTTTTTTCGTTAGAGGCGGTTAAAGTTAATCGCGATTAAAGATAATCATCTTCCGAATGTGACTATCTTTACTCATGCTTTTCAAAAATAATCATGATGAAAGTAGCGGTTACACTACTAGTTTAATTACGATTAAAGATAATCGTCATTATCTGCGTAGTGTAACCGTAGTGTTACTCGTTTAAACTATAACAGATAGAACAAGTTCTTCTTTTCGCTTCATTCGTTTTCCAGATTTCGAAATATTCCGTTTATCCTTTTTTTCTTTGTGAATCTATCTCTTTAATTAACTGACAATTCTACTGTGCAACTAATGTAGCTGAATGAACTCGAGCTATGCGTATAAAATCATTTTAACATTGAATAAAATTGCCTTATCGTGTCTACAACGACTTGACTGAGTTTTCTATATATGAGAATAACAACAGTTTTCATATGTCTAACATTCGTTTGTTTGTTAAAGGAGATAATTTTATCCATGATCCCACGAAACAAATCGATGAACGATCACCATCGCAAAAAAGACGAACTACGTAGGTTATTAAAACAGTTTAAAGTGAAAAAATAGAACTTATATGATCATTTCTTTTAGTGATGAATCAAATAATGAATTAACTGATCGTCTATCAGAACAATCATACGATGGATATGGAAAAAAACATGTTTCGGTTTGTATAAAAAGATAATTACAAATCACTTTATAAAAGTTTTAGATATTTTTTTTAATAAACTTAGACTATTACTCACTATATGATCGATTGTATGTTTACGAAAGATATTTTGTTTTATTTTAGTCCACAAATGATCAGATATCAGCTAAAATGGAAATAATGTATAAAACAATGGAAAAATTAGAAAACAAAGCAAATGAAATGCAAGTATGTTATGTTATACAGAGATCAAACTATTTTCAGAAAAGTCTCTGTGAGCTAAAAATATGAAACGCTTCATTCTATTTATATAAGCATTCGGATATTCAAAATTTCATTCATAAAAAAAGGTTATTTAATCTTATTTTTTAAATTTTTATTTGATGACCCTCATACTTTCCCCATACTTCTACCTGTCAAATAGCTTGAGATGGACATGTGGTTGAGTAATAACAACTAGTTACAAACTTAGTACAGCTTGTAACAACACTTAGAAATCGAGTCGTAAATAGGAGTCAGATATGAGAAGGGATGTAAAATTTAATTTCACGCCATGTAAGATCAATAAAAAGAAAGTTGTTTGAGGTAAATTGAAGAAACAAAAAGAAACTGCTTTTTCAATTTTTCGAGAACTATCTCGTTAGTGACATAGCCAGCCTTTTTCCAGGAAGGATAGCAACAACAAAATATTTTCCTCAACTTATTTCTCCTTCGAAATTTTCTCTGTAAAACTCAAATTGTCTTGATCTACCACTAGCATCAGCTGCTTTTTTTCTGCTTTTTCACGCCTTAAAAATAGATGTTCATCAGAGATAGCATGAAATATTTTTCTAAGAGTGATTCAGAAATTATCGTATGTAGTAGTGGCTAAAAAAGATCAAATCGTAGCAAATTACTAGATATAAACGTCGACTCGTCTATTTTTGCAGAATAATAGATGAGAACTTTCGCAAAAGACTATTAAATCTCGGTTATTCATAAAAATTACTTCTCATTTCAGAAACAAGTTGATCAATTAACAAATGTAACTGATATTCAACGTGAACAAATCGATCGTTTAAATGGAGAAATCAATGATTTGACCGATTTACATCAAGTTGAAATTAGAACAATCAGAACCGATTCAAAAAATTTGGAAGATAGATTAATTTATAAATTTAATGATTATTGGAATGAAATGCTTGATAGATTAGATAAACTCGATACAAGGGTATATCACATGATTGAATTCGTTGTGAAACTTGTTTTCATTTCTTATGAGGAAACATTCCCAGATCATACCTTCTGTTTCCAATGATTGATATGCCAGTTGATAGAAGATAGGGTTCTAGTAAATTCTTTTAGGAGTCTGTTTGTAGTACAGAAAGTTTCTGCCTTTTACCTCTTTGACTAAAAAAGTTATGACGTTTTTACTTCTCTAAGGAAAATCACGTTTTCTCATACAGTGCTATGCAATAAGAACTCTATGTTTTTCTATTACAGGTGATTACATGCGTTTCTAGGCTAATTTCTGTAACAGAAATATCCTGTCTTAGGAAGAAAATATATATCCGATCAGATGTGTCGGATGAGTGTTGTCTTTTAAAAAGAAAAACACGTGATTTAGGAGACGGTGTTATGACCTTCCCTCTTGATCAGGTCATAAGAATAGTCTCTCTTTCTTTCCTGTTGCCAGTGTCATAGCGTCATCGTGTAGCATCATCATGCATATATACACCTTAATAACTAACCTAGAAACGCATGTAATCACCTGTAGTTCTTACTGCACAGCATCGCATGGAAAAACATAATTTCCCCTAGAAAAGTAAAAACGTCATAACTCTTTTCGTTGAGAGAAGAGCTGAAAAGCAGAAATTTTCTGTACTTCTAACAGATTCTAGCACAGCTAAAGGAAAAAATTTCAGTCCTTATCTCAATGTTTTGACTAAGTATGAATTTTTTTTATTGTTGAGCCCACTGGGGTAAGTCAGCAAAAAAATTCATAACTTTTGAAAGAAGCAGAAAGAACCCAAATTCTTTTCACAGCTTTTACTAGGACTCTCTCCTCTATCGATCGACTTATAAATCATTGAAAATGGAAGATTAGGGATGCTACTTTACTTTTACTAATTATTACATTATTCCGTAAAAGTAATAAGCGTTTGTTACTTATTACCGGTAAAAAGATAATAAATTGTGTTGTTTTATTACTTATTATTTCTTTTTGTAATAATTTTTCATTATTTTACTTAGTACTTTTTATTAATTTTCTTCTTATTAGTAATAAGTAAAGTAATAATAAGTAATAAGATAATAAGATTTATTACTTGTTTCCTGATAATAACTAATAAGTTTTATTATTTATCACTTGGTAAAGAACAGTAAAGTGACACCTCTACTGAAAGATATCATCTAGGAAAGCTCCCTCATTATATTTCTTCAGATAAAAATCTTCAAGCAGAAAACACATTCAGCTAATAAATATCCCATTATTTCGTTTCTTTGTTTTTCCTCGATTATTTGCAGCTTCTTAGAAATAAAAATTTCCATTAGTAATATTTATTTTAACAGAAATACTTTGCCTAAACGCACTAATCTTTACTAGTTTCTTTTTATTTTCTTACTTTTTTTTAATTTAATAATTCATTTAGACGGCTAAAGTGGAACAAAGTCAAACTCATGGAATCGAAACAGAAGAGAACACCCATCGAATTATTAGTAAACTCGTTAATATTCTTTTGACAATATTTGCTATTATTCTATTGGTGTTATCCTCGATAAAAAATGCTGTTTCATTTGTTGTTTCCTCAAGGTAAATATATATTTTTTTCAGTTAGGTAACATTTTGTCAGAGCAGCATCGTTATTAGACTAAATGGCTTGACAGGAGAATAGTTTATTGTGCGCTCATAACAAAATTGAAGCAAAGTAGAAAAAAAAATGATCCAAACAAAACCGGTCAGTCGAAAGGTTCGGATAAACTGGCTAAAAATTGGTTTAGTTTAAATGGAATAATCAATCGGTAAAAAGACAATATATTTTTTTTAGATGAATTTTATAAAAAAATAAAGTATCGGATGGACCAGAATCAATGAGGGTCTTGGTATTTTGCTTAAAACTTGGTTTGGATTTGTTCCAAGACTCGACGTTTTTCTTTAAAGATGCGCTACGAAATACTCTACAAAATCATACCTAAACTATAATGTCAGAACTTCAATCAAGAAAACTAAGCCAATTAGATGAAAATCGAAAAAAACGAAAACTTTCCAAACTTGAACTTTTTCTTCTGCTACTGTTTTCGCTAAAAAAGAGTAGAAAAAGTGAGAACTCAGTTTATGTTTGGTACTTTCAAATGTGCTATTTCTCGTGATCTGTAAAAAGATTTTTTGAGAGCAGATGATGTGCTGGAGAACGAAGTTACAAAAATACGTCAAAAGTCCCCAATAATGTGCTCAAGCAAGACACGGAAAATACGATTGAAGGTATGGTTTTGCAGTTAGATAGAGAAGAGCGATCATCTCTGATCAAAATAAAATCCACCGAAAAACTTTTTATTTTCATGGAGTTATGGGACTTATACCAAAAAGCACTACAATACCCAAAATTTAAAAAATTAATAAAAAACTGCATGACAACCGACAGAAAAACTATTATTTCTCCATGACTTTTGATGTAAAAAAATCTGAAGTGTAACTAAAAGATAGAGCGAAGTCAGGGCTACAAAATGACTAATTCACTTTTTCTTACTTTCAAATTGTTAACACAAGAAATCATTTTGAGTTTCGAAAGTTTTCATTTTTTTCGACTTTCATCTAATTGGCTTAGTTTTCTTGATTGAAAGTCTGAAATCATAGTTTAGGTATGATTTCGTAGTGCATCTTTTAGAAAAAACATCGAATCTCGGAAACAAATCCAAACCAAGTTATAAGCAAAATACTGAGACTCTCTTTTATTCTGGCCCACCTGGTACTTTATTTTTTAAACAACATTGGTTAATGAGAAAAAAGCCTATTTCCGTTCAGTAGAACGGATCTAGATTTATGAAATGTAATAATAATCGGTACTTTGAAAGTTAGTAATCAATATTTTCCGTAATATTCTGCTTCGTTCAGTTTTATTTGACTAAGAGTTTTTTTAAGAAATACACTGGGACAGATAGACCGGTTCCAACTCTGGCTCATAGATATTATACTCATTTCACTCATATCTTTTATCTGGACATTTTCACATACTAAGGATTAAAAATAGAAATCACATGAACGATCAAGAACACGTGATTGGGATTGTTTTTTTGTTTTTCATTTTTAGAATTCACGCATTAACAATTTTAATATTGGCACTATCATGGCTTACTATTCATTACTTGCCAGCAACTTATCTTCAAACATCATTTATGAAAAGTAAGAGAAAATTATTTGTGTTATAACTGCATTTTCTAATGATTATATCTGCCACAAGTAGTTTGAGCTAAAGGTTACCGTTTACCGTTTACTTTGACATTTTTAATTATTTTTAGATTTTACAAATATTTTTAAACGTTCACGACAAGAAAGCTATTCTTCTAATTAATATCTGTAACATATGTTCATATCAATTTATTCTGTGTAAATTAATGGCAATTTATCTTCACTTAAGTACCGTGTAGTCCCTTGCCTACTGTTGATACAAGCAACAAAAAAACAACAACAACAAAGAGTACCGAGTGATTTTTATTTTCTACTTTCGCTCTTTCTTTCATAATTCATTTTTCTGTAAAATTAAGTGTGTATTTAACATTTGTCTGGCTGTTTTTCTTGTTTTTTCTCTGTTCGTAATATGTGCAATCATATTTGCTTTTGTGTTGAAACCAGCTGGTTCTGGTGGGTACTTGTATAATCAAAAGCAATAGTTTTAGCTTTTCATTGATGTTTTATTTATGTCTTCACACGGTGGAGGGAGACTTTCGCGTGATAAGAATAGTCCGAACTATATCGAAGGTAAATTTGGATCTAAATGTATTGGTGAAATTATTGGAAAATACCTTGAGATCATAAATCAGGCCTATTAGATGTATAAGATTGCTTCAAATATTCACGGTATTCTTTCTTTTTGAATTCTACAATTGTCATTATTCATATAACGAACATAGAAACATACTTTTGTTAATATCTAGTCATATATATTTTCTTTTTCAATTTCATTTATTGAATTAATCTACGGCGAAAACAGTTCTTTTTATTTCAAATATTTCTGAGAGACTATAGGATTTAACGCCAACTATCCACTAATAAAAAGAAGAAAAGATGATCATGATGAGTACAGAATACCAATTTTTTTTCTTTTTATTGCTGAACATCAATTTATACTGAAGAGAAATGCTTCTGTTTATTTTTCTCTTCTCATCCTTCTTTATATATACTGTTACAAAATGTTGTAAATATAACTGCCCGAAATTGTGATTTCGAATAAAGTAAATGTTTTTTTGTTTATTTATTACAAATAAATTAATCAAAGCAAATTGATGAAAAACACGTAAATAGTAAGCAAAATAAAATGCTGGCTTAAGAGACGATTCGCGAGGAAAGCGAGTATTTTGCGAAACACGCGTAACATGCAAAAATTTGAAATATCATTTTTATTTGATTTTCAGATTCTACAATCAAAACTGGGGTGACGAAAAAAATTGTTCACTTCCAGACTTTACTTTGACCGAGTTACAGAGTTTTTAAAATGAGGTGCATCAAAGAATCGCAAAAATGAGCAAAAATGACAAAAAGTTTTCGAGTAAAAATTAGTCGAACTTGGAAAATGAAAATCGAAAAAAAGTGTCGAAAACTTTTTGTCTCTAAATAACTTCAAAGGCACATTGTCTGATGCCCTTTTTGACGCTGATTCCAAATATTGCCTTGTTTTTGTTGTAGAATGAAGTCTTGATCCCAAAAAACTGAAAAAATGATGTCAGGCGACCGTCTTGTTTTTAACTTTTCAAACTGTTCCAGGGGTTTTAAGACAAAGTTTTTTAGCTCAGTTTGTAGAAAATTGAATTTCCTATCTGATGTCATCTTCGTATTTCTAGGGAAATTCTGTTTGGATGCCCAAAAGTGAATTTTAGTAGAAAAAAGTTGTATGTGAAAATCATAACCCTGCACTTGATGAACCTCTTACAACATCAGTATTGAGTTTGGAAAAAGAAAAGGCATCTGATTTTGTTTAGTTTTTGATGGTCTTTCGAATGAAACATTGCTTGACCAGAACGGATAAAAAATGACGGAGTTATATCGAAAATATAAGACAGTGCTCATTTTTGCGATTCTTTGATGCACCTCATTTTAAAAACTCTGTAACTCGGTCAAAGTAAAGTCTGGAAGCGAACAATTTTTTTCGTCACCCCAGTTTTGATTGTAGAATCTGAAAATCAAATAAAAATGATATTTCAAATTTTTGCATGTTACGCACTTTCTCGATGGGCTGGTGAAGCCTGTCTTAAGCATCTGTAGAAAATTTGAATGTTTTCATGGAATGCCGAACGAATAGCTCACTTAAAGTCGATTATAACTCCGTAAAACATGATCTTGATTTAAGGATTGAGTTAAGATATCTTTAGAGTTGTCTGCAGAGTTGCCAGATGCTTAGGTCAGCTAGGCTCAATAAAAAGTTGAAAAAGTAGAAGTTTTTTCCAAAATGCGGAAAAAAAAGCGGAAACGCATTTTTCACCGTATCAGTTCATTTTTCGCGAAACGCAAAGGGTATTAAAAAAATTTTTTCTAGCGCATTATGATGATTCCACTTAAGGAACACAAACCATCATTTAAATCGATATTGGCTTTTTGTGGATGCACGTTTTTGATTAGGCCTGTTCACGTTTCGTTTCTTGAATGCGAACGGTAAAGCACTGTTGAAGCTGAGCTTCTTTTATATAAACAGTGTTCATTTTGTCTGAAGTAAGTAATAAAATTCTGTTCTTGTACTGTAACAAGAACAAATATTTCTGCTTGGTCTGATCAACAGAAACTCTAGTGAACGATCAGATGGTCTGCTCAGGGCAGTAACCAGATTATTGCAATGTAAAAAGGATAGCCATTGATTTTCTGATCAAGGCATTGATTCTTCCAAGAACAGATCGCCGACTTCCTGACCAGGAGACGAGTTTTTCCTGCACTGGAACCGGCATTCCTTGGTCGAAACCATTTCCGTAACTATATACTTTTTTCTTTGTTAGCGTAACTCATTGGGGAGCTAATGAGCGTTGATTTTTCACTAAATATAACTGGTAATGGGGAGAAGAAGAGCATATCCATACCGAAAATCGATGTAGGGTGAAAATCAGGAAAAATGTCAAAAAAAGGGGGCTTCTAAAGTCTTGAATTTGGTTGCGTTCAGGAGAACGCGAAAGTTTTATCGGATTTTTCCATATTCATTCGTCGTAAAATCATCGATGCTAAGGTCTATCATCAGCGTACTACTTCCACACCACACATGGATCTGATTTTGGAGCTTTTCATGATTTTACCAAATTGTCGTAGTTCAGCATTTTCGGTAATGCGTGCATATTTTCATTTGATCCACCCTAATCCCATGTCTCTTACACTAATCATTGACACATTCGATTTTGTTTAACTACTTTTTTATCACAAGTTCGTCAATGAATTTTTACATCTCGTTGGTTTTTACACATTTGACCACAATTAGGACAGCTATTTGTGGCCGCTCTGATCGACATTGGTGAAGTTTGACTAGTTACAGTGCTGATTGTGTTAACCTGGTTATTTCGAGCCAGCTGTATTCTGCTCGTCGCAGATTTGCTAGTTCCTTATATTCATATACAACTTTCTGAATATCAGAATGTACGGGTTCAATTTGCACGTATCTGTTGATAACCTGACGCCACTTGTCCTTATCCATCGTTTCCCTCCACCAGTTCTTGATCCCGAATTTAGCAATATCATCTGAGATTTTATCTTGCCATCGTTGCCTTCATTTTGAGATCTTCGGGCATTAGGAAAATACGAAAACATAACTTTCTTTAATAGTTTTGGACTTTTATTCACATCTTCCACTCTGTTTACGTGGCCAAACCATCTTAACCGATTTCTTATTATATTTTCCAAAGGACGGGGTGCAACAAAAACGAGAATCGGTCCCATTTCAGATCTTCTCGAAAGGTATCTAGAATGAAAGAGACCCTTCTAGACCCTTGGCTTCCCTTCTGACGACATATTTGTGAGAAAATGAAATGAATTGACCAATAGCTCCGCGAACCCATTTCGATGTGTTTTTCGTACTTTTCTCAGAATACAACGTTTGAAGGAAATCAGGAAAAATTAAGAGTTAGCTTTGTCCCATTTTGGAGAGGGCACTTTGAACTATCTATCTGTGTAAAAAAACTGATAGATTTCTATCTCAGTTTTCGGAGATACGAAGTGGTTTTCCAAAGATCTCTTAGAAAACCGATCTTCCGAATGGTTTCACAAAAGGATTTTGCTTATAAAAACATAGGCTAAACTGTCTCCTTTCGGTTGTTGAAAATTGCAAGTCCCTATCTTTTATCGTTTTGGAATTATTCAAAAAACATTCATGTTCATTGTATTTTGGCGCCGGTAGTAGTCTGGTTTTTCAAACATCCTTTCAAAATTCTGCTTACGAAAATACGTCGTCCGACTTCCTCTATGGAACGGAGGAAACGACACTCTTCTATATCTTTTCGTTTAAAAGTTGTTCGACAAATATCCAGTCGCATTTTATTCTGAAATGTAGAGTAGTTGAAAAAATTCTCTCTCTTTTCTGACCCTACACGTTTTTGGACTTCTATAAATAAATTCAAAAATGCAAAGTTGAGCATACCTCAGTTTGTATCTGATATGTCTAAGCGCATCTCGTCATCTGTCAATGAATCTTGTGACATGTTTAATACGTACTTCAATTCTTGTTATTCTACTCCTACACCAAACTCCACTCCAGTAATCGATAACGCTTTTTCAAATTCTAACGG